CTGTCCGCTCTCCGCCTCCTGGGACCCCTCATCCTGCGCCCCTTGCCCTGAGCCGCTACCGCCACCACCGCCACTGCCGGCCAGGGCGCCGGGGGGCACTCGATGACCTGCCACCTTCTTCCTTACGCCCACCTTCCCGCCAGAAAATAAAGCCGCTCGAATTGATTCCCTTCCTCCGACTGTTTCCAGCCCGCCCCCTGGAGCCCCGCTCCTAGCTCTCATCCCGGACGCGCTTCCTCTTAGAGGCTCAGGAACCGATGCTTGACCCCTGCGTCCCCCCCTCTTTTTTCCCTTCTTCTCCTTCAGCCAAAGATGGTGCCCCCTGCGTCTTCGGAGGAACGGTGTACCGGAGCGGAGAGTCTTTCCAGAGCAGCTGCAAATACCAGTGCACCTGCCTGGACGGGGCTGTGGGCTGCGTGCCGCTGTGCAGCATGGACGTCCGCCTGCCCAGCCCTGACTGCCCCTTCCCGCGGAGAGTCAAGCTGCCCGGGAAATGCTGCGAGGAATGGGTGTGTGACGAGCCCAAGGACCACACAGTGGTCGGCCCTGCCCTTGCCGGTGAGTTGAGTCTTCCTCAAAGTCAGCCCTGCGATTCTCCCCCAGCGGCTGAGTCGTGACTTCACCAGGGGAGAGGGGGAAATATCTTATCCTGGCGTCTTACCTCGTGTTTGTGTGCTCTGCTCTCACAGCTTACCGACTGGAAGACACGTTTGGCCCAGACCCAACTATGATTCGAGCCAACTGCCTGGTCCAGACCACAGAGTGGAGTGCCTGTTCCAAGACCTGTGGGATGGGCATCTCCACCCGCGTTACCAATGACAACGCCTTCTGCAGGCTGGAGAAGCAGAGCCGCCTCTGCATGGTCAGGCCTTGCGAAGCTGACCTGGAAGAAAACATTAAGGTACATGTTTTGCTCCTCCTGTTAACTCATTTTCATGGAACAGGAGTGGACAAGACAAAGTTAGGTTTCTTAACACCTTTATTATTATAGGCCTGTTATCTCCAAAGCTATCTAACCATTGAGCTGTTTTGCTGGAATGAGATGTTATGTAATAAGAACCACCAGTTTTTCCACTGGGAGGTCCTCCAGTGTTAGTTCATTCAAGACATCCCAAAAAAGGCTGTGTCTATTTTTGGAAAATTGGCAAATGAAACTCAAACTTCCCCTGCTCAAAATGTAAACAGAAGTCAGACAACCCTAAGACTCAGAGCACACAAAGGTGGAAGAAAGCCACACCCTCTTGCAGAGTCATTGATTTTTCTCTTCTCCCTTGTCTTCCTTAGAAGGGCAAAAAGTGCATCCGGACCCCCAAAATCTCCAAGCCAGTCAAGTTTGAGCTCTCTGGCTGCACCAGCGTGAAGACCTACCGGGCTAAATTCTGCGGGGTGTGCACAGACGGTCGATGCTGCACCCCACACAGAACCACCACCCTTCCCGTGGAATTCAAGTGTCCAGACGGGGAGGTCATGAAGAAGAACATGATGTTCATCAAGACCTGTGCCTGCCATTACAACTGTCCCGGAGACAATGACATCTTTGAGTCACTGTACTACAGGAAGATGTATGGAGACATGGCATAAAGCCAGAGAGAGTGTGAGAGACATGAACTCTTTATGCTGTCACTTGAACTGATTCACATCTCATTTTGGTGTAAACATAATTTTAGTAGCACAAGTTATTTAAATCTGTTTCTCTAACGGGGGAAAAGACAAATTCCCACCAAATTCAAAATATTGTGCCATGTGACATTCAAACAAATAGTCTATCAACCCAACACAGGTTTGAAGAAAGTAAGACTTGACAGTGGGACTGTGTTAGCGTATAGCACCAGGATGTATGCTAGCAGCAGTGGGAGGGCATCTTGTCATGTTACCCTAGTAATGTGCCTGCTATTTGGAGTGTCATTGAGAAGGGAAACTTGCACGTGCTCATTGACCTGCCTGTAGCTCCGGCGACAGCTAGGATGTGTGTTCTCCAGCCATCATGAGGCTGAGTCAAGGTCTTCTTTAAGTCAGAACAACAGATTCAGCTCTGACATTCTGATTTCAGATGACAGTGTTCAGGAATCAGAATCCTGTCTATTAGACTGGACAGCTTGTGGCAAGCTAATTTGCCTATAACAAGCCAGATTTTTTTTTATTGATACTGTAAATATTGTGTATATATATATATTTGTACAGTTATCTAAGTTAATTTAAAGTTGTTTGTTCCTTTCTGTTTATGTTTTTAATGCTTTGGTATTTCAAGTGTTAGCCTCAATTCTGAACACCATAGGTAGGACGTAAAGCTTGTCTGATAATTCAAAGCATGAAATGGATATTCAAATGGAAATTCTTTTCAGTTAGAGCGACAGGCCATCAATACAGGTTGTTTGCTGAAGGTGAGGCAGCAATGTCTCTGGAAGTCTGATTTGTAGGTTAGAAATGTGGTAGCATCACTTTTAATGAACAAATGGCCTTTATTAAAAAATAAGTGGCTCTCTATAGGTGATTGGTTTTTCCACCTGGAAGCATTTGTTTCTAATTTGACTATGACTGTTTTTTGGACAGTTTATTTGTTGAGAGTGTGACCAAAAGTTACATGTTTGCACCTTTCTAGTTGAAAATAAAGTATATATTTTTTCTATAAAGGTCTCGGGTATTCATTTACTCTCTAAACATTTCTGAGTTTTCTTGAGTAAAAATGGGAAGCTTTTGTTTGTCTTAAAACAATTCACTTATAATTTTCTAAATATCTTTGATCATCTATTCTAATCAGTTGGTTAATCCCTTCAGTAGAATTTTTACACAAACAGATTTCACACTGAACCAAGTATCACAAATTTGCAGGCATACGCACTACATTGAGCACACAGGCAATTTTTGTTATCTTCACAGTACGGTATAAAAACCCAGTTCTCCAGATTATCTCGGTCTCCACCAATCCCTATTGTATTATGCTTGATCCTGTTTACATTTAATACCTCTCTGGCCTTGTAGGCATTTCATTTCCAACCCATCATCACAAACTAACCTATATGCCTTTCACATAGAAAGTTTTTAAGTATTTTTTTAATTTGTATGCTCTACTGTAGATCTGTTTCTGAATTTCAGTGTCTTACTGTTAAAACAGAAAAAGTATAAAACCTCCATTAAAATGAAACAACTTAGTAAGTCTTATTTTGCATAATTCTGTTTTCCGTTGCCATGATAACCAGTCACAAATAGATGATGGGGTAAGTGGAGAAAGAAGAATAAACAAATCTTCCATTCATTCACAATAATAGAAATTTACCTTAAATTAAAAGCTTCTCTCCTTTTCCCCAAGTTTTTCACTTTATCAGATCTCAAAATCAGTAGTTTGCCAAGTGGTTTGTAAGTGACAAAATGCAATCGTTCAAGAAGCCCTGTGTGGAAATGGTATTGGACCTCTACAGGTCTCTACTGAGAAGTCAACTGAAATAAGTAGCAAACAAAAGAAATACTCTAGGGACAACGAGAAGCCCAATTTTTCCCAGATCATAATAGCTGTGGATTTGAGGGGAAAAAATAGTTGCAGACAGACTAACCCATCACAAGGTAATTAGCAATGTTGCAGCCAGTGTCATTCTAAGAGACAAAAATACATCTGAAAATAAAGACTAGTTCTACAAACAGTGCCCATGCCACAAACCAAAGGGAAAACTTCCCGTGTTCAAAATGTGAAAAGTGTTTCTGGTCAAAACATTGGATTTTTAGGATCCACCCAAATATGTATATAGCAACGCTGTCAGCAGCTGCACCCCGCTTCCCCAAATAAACCCACATGCAAACATACACTCACAGGCAGAGCACATTGTTTGGTTTACATTTCCTTTCTGTCAGTTGACTCTAGCTACAAAGATTGAAGGGCCATGGTAAATGAGCCTGTTTTAAAAGGAATTTGAGACTTCTGGGAAGACAGAAATAATAATACAAGCATGGATTTCAGATTTTCCAAATCTCCACATTAAAAAAAAAAGAGTAGATTGCAAAATCAAAACAGCATGAGAAATATTTATACAAAATTAGATGGCAAAGTATCCCCTGAACCCCAAGATATGAGTGGGGGAAAATCATCGACCACCACAAGACCTGTACTATGTCAGCATAAATGAGAAAAAGCAAAGGAATGCACCAGGGTATCTGATGCTTCTGAGAAGAGGAGAGCTCCAAAACAGCCAACAGTGAAGCAGAGGGGACCAACGTGAGGACGGCTTCTGAAACTGGTAGGGGTCTTGCACGTTCCAGCAAAACTTACCAACCAAGGCTCTCTCCCGAGGGAGGAATCTGCATTCTTGGGAGTAGAATCAAAATTAAGCAGGTCAGAGACAACAAAGATATTGAGAGAAAAGCTCCAGGTAAAAATGAGACGAGAAATAGGTTTGAAATCTTAAGAAGCAAACTACTATACTTTTAATACTACATGAAAACAACAAACGAGAGAGCTCTGTGAAGCTAGAAGAGCTATCTAAACCAAACCTCCTTCCCAAATAAAGTTCAGGAAAACTAATTTCACATTAAAAAAAATTATCAAAACCAAATACAAAGACATTATGTGGAAAACAGTAACAAAGGAGAAAATAACATTCTTACAGATAATAAAAGCACACCAGAAATACGTGCCCAGAAAACATGTCAGAACAATAACCTGCTAATATTAGAAATCAACTATATTTCAATTTAAGAAAAAATATTTGTTGAATGAAAAAAAAACTATAACCTACTATTTCAAAAGAACATAAAGAAAATAACACTAGCTATAAATGATTAAAAGGAAATAACTAATGACATAAATAGCAACACAAATCTCAGAGTTAGTGTAACTTGGAAAACGGTGACAAACCTCAAGAAGGAATTAGAAATAAAGGAAATATTAGAAAGCTAGAAGACACACAGAGTGAACAAACACAACAGGTAACTCCTTAAGAAGAATAGATGATGAGAAAGGAGAATTTTTCAAATAAAAAAGAAAAGGTTTCAAGAAAAAGTGATAAATATCTCAGATAGGCAAAAAAGATCCAACATATGGATAGTAGGAGTTCCTGAAGAAGAAAAAAAACAAAAATTATAAATCAAGAAAACGGAAATAAAAAGTGATGTGAAAGCACATATTGAAAGAGCTTACCATATACCTAATACAAGCAACCAACACCAAGACGTAGTCTAGTAAAATTGCTGGAATATAAAGGAAAAGGAAAAACTGTTGGGACATCTAAGCAAAAAGAACAGGACTCTTATAAGTTAAAGAAAGTTAATTTATTATTCTGATAATGACAGCAACACTTCATAACAAAAATTATAATAACATATTTAAGATACTCAAGGAACAAAAATATGAGCCAAAGAATTTTTATCCTTCAAAACTGATATTCCAAATCATATAAGAACTTAGGGCATATAGTTCCTGTGAACCCTTTCTGAGTTGTCTAGTAGAGAAGAAGCACAAAAAATGAAAGTATCTGAGAGATGTTAACTTAAGGACTGGTGGTATAGCTTATCTTTAGAACTAAGAGTAAATGAAGGTTAAAGAGAAGAAAGTATAGTTTAATGCAGCAATATGCTCTGACAGTGTAGAGTGCAACCACAAAAGACTGAGGGAGAGAATGAACATAGCATATCATACACACATACACACATACAAATATTTAACTCCCTTTATTGGTGATAGTGGTGTTATTCAGAGACTGTGGGTGTGTAATGTAGGGTAAAGTAAATGAGCCATTATGGTTATTCTAGTGCCATCCCTAGTGTTGGTGAGTACTAGGATTCTTCACGAGGAAGTCACAAAATACAGATGCAATATAAAAGTAGTTATGTCAGATTCCGTAGTCCTGAATTTGAATTAGAAATATCAGCAAAAAATACAAAAGAAATAAAAAGAAATGTCAACATAAACTTATGATGTATTTTATCTTTTAAAACACATGCACTCATACACACAATTACATATTATACATTTTTTTCCTATGTCTGCTCACTGAAAAATCTTAGCTACAATGACAACTCAAAAGCAATGAGCATCCCCAGGCCCAGATTGTGCTCTTGAAATGTTCCTTTTCTATTAGAAGAAACTAGGACTTCTTGGAGAAAGGCTGAATCCAAGACTGGGGGAAGAAATGTGTAAGATGCATTTATGCAGGGAACACCTCTTCACGTTGGATAATAATGAAGTTAACAAAGACCACTAAGATCATACTGAAAGAATTCAAGAGGTAAATTGAAGAGACTCCTACTAAAGGTGGGACAATTTGAGCTTCTGTGAGAATAAGAATTGCAGTGTATTAAGGCTATCATTTATCCTTAAATTCATTAGCTTATCACAATAGTTAAAGAAAAAAACTCTAATTGGTCACCAGAGAATAATAGGGAATCTATTGTATCATACACTAAACGTAACATTTCCATGATTACTTTGGTATCATATCTCTGATACTCTACACAACTCGTGGTGCCTATGTCTGGGGTTGTCCCGATCTGTACCACCCCAGACGTAATCCAGAGATGACTTTTAAAAGACATAAATCCTGTAGTCAATGGTATTCACCCTGTGGCGTTCAATTTAAAGTAATTTTATATTCTTTTAAAATAACTTTCTATAATTTTCCAGATTTTCAGAAATGAACATGCATTATTTTATTATCAGAAGTTTAAAAAAGAAATGTTTTAAGTCCTCATTTAAAAAACAGCAAAGACTAAGCCAAAAAATGTTAGAAGTTTTCATGATTTCAGATTTAGATAAACAGCTCACATATACAATTCACTATGCCTTAATTTTCCATGTGCCTAGGAGCATGTGAAACACACAGATAGCTCTAGAGAATTCATGTATTTGTGTATATTCAGTGTAATCTCTTAGCTCATTTTCCAATTCCATAAACAAAATCATGGAACATTTTCTTCTGTAAATTTATAATAACTATTCTTTACCTCATGAATCATACTGATTATATATAGACTGTTGCTAAGACTAAGAATAAAGTAAACAACATAAAACATAGTCAGATTCCAAATCTAAATATAGGGTTCAAAGCAATAGACATGGAGACCCTCCTCTATGTTAGGTATTTCAAAGGTGGTCAAAGAAGAGTTAGTAAGAAATGTAGAATATCATTGATCCATTAGAATTTACATCTCAAGAATGTAAAACATATTAAGACTTGCATTAGATCAATAAACTCCAACACAGTTTTTTGTCAGCACGGTTAAAACACGTAACTTGGATAAATATACTAACTTTCAAAAACCTTATGGCAGCATCTGCTAAAGCTAAACATAATTTCCTGTGACACAACAAACTTCTATTCCCAGGCATAGATCCGAAAGAAATGAACAACATACACACACAAAATTCTCTGAGCAGTTTTATCCACCCAAAAACTGAAAACAATCCAAATGTATATCAATAGGAGAACAGGTAAAATGTAGAATATTCATGCAAAGAATAATAAATAAATCAATATAAAAAGAACTACTGATATTATACTGAATGATAGAAGCCAATACAAAGCACATACGCTATATGATTTCACCTACAATGACATTGAAAAATAGGCAAAACTTATCAACAAAGATAGAATTCAGAATAGTGGTTATTTTGGAGGTGAGGGCATGAGAAAACTTGGCATACATT